ATACACACAAGTGCAAACTTGCATTCCCCCAACCAGAGTGAAGTAGTTCTGCCCCTCTAAGCTGAGTTATTTAAAGCCCCTCTCTCAACTCCATCCGAGTGATTATGTGCTACTGAATTAAACATCACAGACCTTAGCCCCTGGCTTCCTCTGTAACACGCTCGAACATGCTAGCCTCTTCCTGTTCCTCAAAAGTTCTGCCTTCATGTCTCCAAGCCAGTACACTAGGTAGGTAAAGATGTGGAGGATGAATGTTACCTAAATCAGAATCTTTTGCTGTGCCTCTTGCTCTGCCATCCCTCTCACAGATGCTGGACAGAGGCATTCAAAGTAATTCACATTACGCAAATCCTGTAAACTGGCTCTTACTGGCTGGCTCGGATTGGTATCTACCCCAGGCATCGTTTTTGCTTGGCACTCAGGCAGTGTTATAGTTGGTTGAGAGCCGGGTGCATTAGAGGGTGAACTGTAGCAGTTCAGTTTAGCACTGACTCCAGGCACCCCAATTAGGGTGTGTATATTCTAAACTGAGAACAATGAAACAAAGAGTTTGTCATAGAGGACCAGGAGAGTGAGGGGGTAAAGTGGGTTCAGATAGGGGGCTGTGCTGCCACTTAGGCAGGAGCTTCAGGCAGTTTGCTGCCTTTTTAGCAGGGTTTGACATGGGTTTTTGTTTACCTCGGAGCATGCGTGTGCTTTTACGCGTGTGTGTGTGTGCATGGGTGTCTGCACGAGGCAAAGCAACAGCCCGCCACCCCCACATTCCAAAACACACCCGTTGGCAGTGAGCGATAAAGGTTCCAAACAAAAGGAAGAAGTCTTGTGCCTTGTGGAGGTGAACTTACAGCACCACAGAGGCAGTTGACCTTGAAATGAGCAGGAGTGTTTGAGGATAGGCGGGGGCGGGTGGTGTTTAAGAGTGCTACCTCAGTGCCAGAGGCCAGGAGGCTGCCTAATGAGTGGCACCTCATGCCATCCATCACCGTGCCACTGCCAGGGTAACTGCCCCCGCATAGCTAAGAGAGCAGGGCCTTAATTGTGCCTCACACCCATTCAGCAGACCACAGCACACAACATGAAACAACAACTTGCACATAAAATAGCACAGACGTATGCAAAAATTCACGCCACAAATTCCAAAATGTATGGCACACACACACAGTATGAATATGCAGCACAGTAGCAGACACACGCAGACTCGCACACTCACAGCTCATTGCACTCCGCATGCATACTGATGTATATACACCAACCAAACATACAGAAATCTGCCTCTAGACACTCATTCACACACTGTTTATAATTTAATGTAGGCAGACGTCGATACATAAAGGCACCAACACAAACACATATACACCAACACATGCACCTCCCCTTCTGCCTTGATGCTGAATGTTTGTGACAAAGCAATTGTCTGCTACTGCTTTCATGATATTTTGTGTTGAAATGGATATCCCTGTAGCTGCTAGTTCAATTCTCCCATGAAGAAATGTCTCAGTCCTTCCCAGCTTATTTTCCCCATTCTTTCTACAGAGTACAATTAGAGAGGGGGGAGCTTTTCCCATACCTGAGACCCTGTCTGCTCTGCTCTCTCCTTCTGTATGACAGGCTTTGAAGCCCCCCCCATTCCTCAGTGTGGGTTCTTTTATCAGAGAGGAACAAGGTTTCCCAGCTCATCCACATCCCATGAAGTATCCCCTCTCAATTAAGATCCTTTCATGTTAATGGTGTTCTTATCGCTCCCATGCACAGGTTCTGAAAGCGAGGCCTGCTGTGGTAGAGTACAATCATGGAGCAGAGCTGCCTGTCTGACAATATAAGACCTGTTACTCCTTTTCTTCTTTCTGTCTCTGTCTTTCCATGCATTTCTGTCTTTTAACTCTGCCTCTTTCTTCTGCTCTCCCTCCCTGTACCTTAATGAGCTATGGGAGGTTGTTGGAGAAGCAGCTACCTGGAAGTGTCCCAAGAAAATGGCAGATTTGTGGCAGGGTCACGGAGACTTACAAAGACAGTGAACACATTACTTGACCACTCATACCAGATTTTGTCAATAGATGTGCTTTGTACTCGAGCCTCAGTTAGTTATATCTCAGTTGCAGCTCAACACGCACATTCACTGCCTCATATTCAGCACAGTCTAGAAGGTCATTGTATCTGTCTCCACTGACATCTAACTCTGTCTGTGTCTTCAGCTCCATTAGCGAATCTCTCTCTCTTTCTCTCACTCCCTGTCTTTTGGAGTAGAACAGGGTTTATAAGTTCAGAACGAGGTAGGCAGACGCTGAAAGATTGTAGGAGCACTGGCTGCCTCTAAGTGCGTGGGTGCCAGAGAGACCTGTTGCCTGGCTACAACAGCACCTTTATCCTCCGGTTGCGATGGCGATGTCTTGCAGATCGCATATGCATGTGTGTATGAGTTCTGGCACACCAACTTTTTCATGTGTGCCTGTGTGTTGAACATGTATGCCTTTGTTTACCGAGTGTTTGTGAGTGTTTGTGAGCTAGAGAGTGGTGGAAGGAGGCGCAGGAAGGCGCTCCACCACCCACTCAACAGGCCTTCCACCCCCACGGCTGACTCCCCAAGACTCTGCTAGTAATTAGCTCAACATCTATCCATCTGTTCCAGGGAGGTGCAGTAAACATTAACACAACACAGCAACATCAAAACGCTGGCTAGAGACACACCGTATGCGTCCATGATACGTCCGTGATACGTCCATGATACGTCCGTGCTTTAAGAGGCCTTAACATGTGACTGCTTGGCTCACACACTTACAGATATGGCTAACATGTTGTCATGTATGCGTTAATAAGTTCAAGCTCGCATACTATACCCACATTCTATCATACAAATATCATACAACAGCTTCACTTCCTCGCCCACATGCACACCACTGGCTCCTGCAACTGTATCCCAGTCTTCCCTTCCACTGCAGAAGTGAGGCTGGAAAGCCGCCCTGAGACCCACATGGGAAAGAAGTGGGAAAAAACAACCAAAAGACTACATTACACAATTAATCAATAAGTTAATGAGATCTCATTTTCTCTGGAAAATAGTATCCATGCAAAAAGTTCGCCCTCAGCTTTTTTTTTCACCTACCCTTGGAGAAGTAACTCCTGATATTACACTGAGGAAAAAGAAAGCAGCCAGCAGGAAATTAAATTAAATTACCATTCTTGATAGATTTATGTGACGCTTTACATTTTCATTGTATTGTTTTCTTTCTAGAGTGGAGGCGGGCCTGGGTTTGGGAGACAACTATTAAACATGTTATAAAGTAAGAAGTAAAACAAGACTGTAGAAAGAGAGCTAAAGTTCCAGACATCATACGCCTCTGGTGCCCTCCTTTTGCTGCAGGTAGCAGATTCCTATTAGCAAAGCGCAGTGACACCAATTATTTTGGTTTGGATGAACTGTAAGGCTGTCATGTTGTCTCTTCCTTTTGACCATACTGTATGTGTCTGTGCATATTTTTGAAGCTACCTATGCGTGAAAAGGTACAAAACAGCTGGGAGTGTGGGTGCTGGAAGGAGTAGACTGTGGGTATCCATGTGTATGATTATGTTCGGCTAACCTTTGTGTGTCTTTTGAATACATATGTGTCTTTTACAGTATGCTAATGAGTTTGTCCTTGCTCAGTCTGTTTCTTTGTGTGCGTCTGTGTATCTATGCTCCCGCCTGCACCCATACATAGACATACATTTATGCACACTTCTAACTGAATGAAGTCGTCTACATTCCGTGCTCTCATTCCAGCTAAAGATTGAGGGCACCTCTTAGCTATTGACACAGCTGGTGATGCCATCTGGGGACATCACACACTACACTGCACCACCTCCATCCAAACCATGCAGCAGTCATCATCTAGTCTCAATACCAATGACAAGGGAAATACAACATCCAGTTCCAGCTTCTCGTAGAGGTGGTGCAGGGAGGTCATCTGTCCACCTGAGACTTCTGGACATACACCTTGTTCCTCTTCCAGTACTGGATCTTTAACTGCCAAAACACATCAGAGATGGTTGTACATGTAGTTGTTTGGAGTGTTTGAGGTGAATTTTGATTTTTTTTTTTTTTTCGATATATATTTCCCCCTGTGGATCTGTGTGCCCCCAGCCACACCCCTGTTTGGTGAAAAGGGAGAATGAGAGAGGTGTGTTCTCTCAGATTGATGCTAAACACTGAGAGGGAGCACGGCCCTACAGTAGCAGTGCCTTGATTTATTTGCCACTTAGTACCAATGACGCTTCAAAAAGCAGGCACACAGACACACATTGCCACAGCATTTTCTCTATTGAGGTTTTTGTTGGTTTGTCGATTCTTGTGTCTTGTTGTGCGTGCAATACAGGCTGAAACATGGACATTCCTTGTGTGAATCTCTGCCATACTTGACAATCAAAGCTTTTTGTTATTACAAAATCAAATTAATGTTATTCACACTGGCAGAACTTTCCTCTAAACGCTACCTATTTTTCACAAGTTGTCAATTTAGAGGTTGCAATTGCAGAGGTATCCAAGTAACTATTTGCAAGCAGCAAATTGTTGAGTTTTGACTTAGTAAACACAGGCAGAGTTAATTGAGGGCAACAATGCACCATGTGGGAGGACTTGACAAAATGCCACAAGTGTGCTACATGAACAAAATTATTACATTATCACACATATACACATCCTAGCCAACACACACACATTTGGAGATAGAGAGATAGAGATCATCACATAATGAGTGAGATTATGGCCAAGTTCTGATCCCGGATTTGTTCTGCTCTCTGGTTGTGCTTTGGGTTGTGCATTTCCTCCTCTGTTCTTGTGCTCTGTTGTCTGTGTGTGGGTTACAGCAGCATTTTACTTCTCACCAACCAGCTGGCATGCTCCACATAAAAGCCCCTCACAGCTGAGCTACTGTATCTATGTATGTCACTGCCTCTCTTTGCTATTGTAGTGTATATTCAAGAAACCACACTCCTTGTCTAACTCTCATCTAATCTGCCCCCCACAGAATCCTGACATCGTGCTCGTCCACTATTTGAATGTTCCAGCAATCGAGGATTGTGGGAAACCATGCGGCCCGATCCTGTGCTCCATCAACACAGACAAGAAGGAGTGGGCCAAATGGACCAAGGAGGAGTTGATCGGCCAGCTCAAGCCCATGTGTGAGTATTTGATCAATCCCATTCAGAACTATGCATTCATTGGTTTTTGTCATCACAGCTGCAACTTTTATTTACAACCTTTAATATAAAAAGTTGCCACTTTAATAGCCTTTACAAATCTACATGCCTGGAAAAAGTAAACATAGTGGCTGTTTGTCCAGTCCTACTGGCTGCCAGCTGGTACACACAGCGCCCTCAGCACTTCAGTGAGACATCTTCGGCCAGCGAGTGCATGCTTCTCTTGGAGCCGTCTGCTGGTTTTGAGTCAAAGTTCAGCTTTTCCTCTAGACCTCTGGCACCACTCTGGCCAGGCTCAGAGTGCACCTCCTCTCTGGCCCATGAAGGAAGTCGAGGCAGAGGAGGGCAGCAAGCTGGTTATTGATTCATGTTAATGTGTGGGAGCAAGAATGTCTGACTCACCAGAAATCACCCCTCAACCTTTTCTCTGCCCCCCACCTCCCCGCAATGGATTGATCCCTGTTGTTACCAGCTTTACTAATGCTCCGTGAGATGCTATGTGTTTTTTGCTTGTTTGTTTGTTTTGTTTTGTTTTTTACAAGTCAATAAACCTGCCCAAAGATTGAGGCAATGTTTTGGAAAAAGTCAGGGTTTGTCTGCTGATAATAATAACCAAACTGGGACCTTGCGGAGCATTGAAAATCTTTCAGAGAGCTGTTAAAATACCTTTAACAACCACTGTGATTTGGGTTTGTCTGGCAGGAGCAAGTAGGGCTGTGACTGATATTCCAATGGCCAGTTATTGGTGGTGTGGTCAGGTAAATAGGAATGTGTCAGCAGCTTTACAAGTACACATGTATGTACTGACAAGGCAGTCCAGACCATCATCACTGAGGTCATGGCTAAATTGTTATTCTCCTCACTGCTCTCCTTGCTTTCAGTTTTAGGACACATTTTAACATAAAGTATTACCTCAGGACAGCAACTGAGCAACAACAGCCTACTGTATTCATTACAGCTGTGACTTAATGTAAAAACCAAGCTCCATTTGCAGTAATGCATAAGGTCATTAACTTTGGGAGTTGTTGGGACAAAGAGGATGAGTGTGAGATGCGTTTTAGCTGCCAGGCTACATGAGGGGGCTACGTAAAAGAAGAAAAATCCTTCTCCTGCTTTCTGTCTTTGCTTTCTCTTTCTTCTCTCGGTCCCTCTTGAAACAGTCAGCATGTTGACACAAGCTCAGTGATGGAGCAACATTGCCATCTGGTGGCCCTATTAGATAGCACTCCCATCCCAGCGTAAAAATCTGAAGGCATGCTGCATTAGCCATGTGTTAGTTCATCTTAAATTAAATGTTAGCTCTTATTTTCCCAGACTGTCCTATTCCTTAAAATAATGAGCTGCATGTGGCCTATTAGTAGATATATTTTTGCATTGGACAGAGGCACTATAATATGTTTTCAGTACTATGGATGGGTTTTTTGTATGAGGACAGATTTCCCTTCTCCCTTTATCAGGTCTGTGCAAAATGTTGTACGTTGAGTACTGAGTGCAAAATTCCAAATTGCATCTGTGTACAGTATGTTTGGCACTGGGTTATGGATGATACAGTATGTGTGGCTCTACATTAGGAAATGTTTCTTATCTGATTATTGTGATTTCACAAGCTGATTTTTGCCATTACAATAATCCTTAGTGTAATGTCAAAATTTGCAGTGTAATTGCCCTCTTCTCTCTTGCCCTTCCCTTTTGTTATTCTCTTTATGATGTACTTTGTACAAACCATTTGACACCTCTAATGATACAAAATAACAACAAAGAAAAAATGCGGATTTCATGGATCAGTTATTCTGTCTCTCCATGACAAAAACACACACATACACTTGTCTTCTCATCGCACAAACCTTCCCATGCACGGATGATCACACACAACATTTCAAATATAAGCCCTATGAAACATGGCCTTGTCTGGCTTCATCCCCCTTAATGCCCTGCAGTGTTTGATGAGAAAGAAAAGAAGCAAGGGGGTGAAGACGGGGGGAAGACAATGGCATCAGGACTCAGTCACGCTACAGTTGCATAGACAAGGCAGCCAGCTTGATTCACTCTTTTGGTCTGATGCTATAAACGCGCAGCACTCTCCCCAGCTATGCCCCTAGCCTGCTGACAGATAGCGCATGAGCAGCTTTAACAAACACTCAGATAGACAGAAGGCCTATCTCCAGGCTAGACAGACAGGACCAGAGAAGCACAGACCAGGGCAAGACAGACAGGGCTGGCCATCTTGTAAACTATTATTCTCCACTGTCCCATATAGTGTCCAATGGTGTAGAGACATGTGCCCTTCTGAACAACCTTGTTTGTCATTAGGACTATGTGATGCTGCTCATGACAGAATGCAGTCATCACGATGATGATGTGACTCTTTGGTGCCTCTTCTGTTGCTTTCATTGAGATTAAGCCTAGCGGCACTGTTCCTGTCATGTCTGCTTTGGAGCATAACCCTGAGTGAGAAGAGCAGACAGGCCGACATGGTGGTAACTGTACGTCAACAGCCCAGAGCCTCCAGGGGTGACAGCCGTCCAGATGAAGAGGGCTGTGGCAATTCTGGCATGAGGGATCGGGGCAGAGGGGAAACAAGATTGTTTAGACAAATAGGGATGGCACTACATGGTGGATGTAAGCTGCTGCATTAGGCTCTCACTCTTGCTCTGTCACCCTCTTTGAATCACAGCAAGAGAATGGATGCTCTCCCTGCAGGATTGATATACAGCAAAAGGTGATTCATGACAGCATTTTAAGCACACCATTATCTCTGTTAGTAATATCAGCATCGTCTTTTTGTATTGTTTGCATTACACACTGTCAGGAGGTGAATAGTGACTCCAAACACACTGTCTAATGGGAACTACAGACAGATACAATTATGTGTGCAGTAATTATGACATTAAATGAAACTTTCCCCTCACATTTGTGGTCCAAACATTTTTTCTCCTCACTTATTTCAAATTAATGGATGGAAGAATATGACTTCATAATAGATCAGAATGAGCTTGGAGCTTCTCTAGCTTGTATCAGTGAGCAGCCTCTCCTAGCTTGATCACAGCAGCTCTGCTGACACCTGCTGGGGAGCAGCCTGTTATCTGCCAAAGAATCTCAAATCTTTCAAGACATATGCTTATCACAGCCATCCAGTCATGTTTCACAGGGTTTTTTTTCACTTTGATTTAAGTAGCTTTAAGTTTTTAATCTGCATTACCCTCACCCTTGTATACTGTTTTAATTTCTTTTCATATCATATGCAAACAAACATCCACTAAGCACATGCTCACTGTTTTCCATAGATGCTTTAAACTTCACTCTCTCTATATATCTCTTTTCCATGTTCAACCAAAGCAGCACTGAAGTGTATGGAACTAGAATTAAGATGAATTGATTTTGTTTGACATTCTAAATATACTTCATTTCTGAAATATTACCTTTTTTACGGTTGAGAGCATCAGTACTGCAGGACTCAGTGGTGTCTCGTACTGCCTCACAGCCACTAAAAACACTGTCTGTCTCATCAGAAGTGGTGGCTGGTTGGCAAGTGGAGCAATGAACAGTATTAGGAGGTGCTAGTGAGGTGTGACTGAGGCAGAGATTACAACTTTACTGGAGAAAGCATTTCTTTTCCCCTTGCTGCAGTAGATCCAGCAGCAGGAGCAGCTAGGTGATGTTCCTCTCCAGAGGCTCTCCTTGTCAGAACAAAGTCATAGGGTGGGGCAAAGGTGGAGGGTGGAAAAACTGAGCTTGCTGTCACCTTCATCAGCACTCACACAAGGGAGGCCACAGAGTAGCAACACTGACACATGGGAGGGAAGAAGTACTAATGGAGAATGAGCAGTGAAGCACAGACGGCTGACAGAATAAAGATCAGTAACTGTTCAGTTCAAAAGAAACAGGGCACATGTGTAGCAGTTAGAAGAAATACTGTAATTCAGAGCATAGTAATTAATAATCAGAACATGTATAACATCAGAGTTAATGCCACTCAAATTCTGCCAATGAAACAACAATATTATATTACCCTAGGCCAGTCAGCGGGTTGTTTCCATTCAGGGTGAACCTGAAATGTGAGGTGTTTTTATTGGACCATAGTAACTTGGACATTTTAGAGAGGTGCCCAGTGAGCAACATGAGGCGTGTTGGCAAGTAGACAGAGAGGACAGTGGGTGGGGCGGGGGGCTGGCACGGCTGGTGGTCTGTTGGGCTGGCTGACATCTCTGTATCCTTCTCTTTCCCGGCAGTTCATGGCATCAAGTGGACTTGCAGCAATGGGAACAGCAGCTCTGGCTTCTCAGTGGAGCAGCTAGTGCAACAGATTCTGGACAGCCACCAAACTAAGCCACCTCCCCGGACTCACAACTGCCTCTGCACTGGCACCCTGGGTAAGGACTAGAGGGTGGGATGGAGTTTGTTCTCAACTTGAAAACTCAGCAAGAGAAGCAAAAAGGCCATAAAGAGACTTTTTATGGGAGATCAGACAAGGTGGTTGAGGTTTTTTTATTGGTAGGTGATTTATGCTGAAATTGAGCTTCAGGGTTATTGGCTTATATTTTTTTTGTTTACTAATAACTGTGTCATGGCCATATCTGAAATAGCCCAGCTGTTCCGAATGTCATGTTAGTCAATCAAATATATTCAGCTGTGTAATATCACTAGGCTGTAACTCAGGACAAGAGCAACACAGAGCACTGGTTTACTAATTTCTAAAACAAATTACTCTGAGTGACCCTCAGTTGCATTTTTATTTATTAGGGTAACAAACCATGAAAATCCCATATGCTTCACTCACTGTACACTAAAAAGAAAATCTAGTTTTATCACCCTGAGGGAAAGAAATGCCCTTCACAAATTGTTAAATACAAAAACAAACAGGACCGGTGACCTGTCTAGGGTGTACCCCACCTTTCGCCCAATGGCAGCTGGGATTTCCACCCCCCCACCCCCGCAACCCTTTTTGAGATAAGCAGTATAAATGATGGATGGATGGAAAAACAAACAGATCATCCGTGTTTGTCTCTGCTCCTTGAACACTAGCATTGCCAAGTTATTAAGTACATGAACATTTATTTGGCTTTTCTTTTTCCCCTTTCTATACCCCCTCGTCCATCCGAATCCCCAACCTCTTTTTTTCTCATATACTGTAGGTGCAGGGAGCAGTGTGCACCACAAATGCAACAGCGCCAAACACCGCATCATCTCCCCAAAGGTGGACCCTCGCTCAGGGGGCTACAGCAGTGCCCACTCTGAGGTACAAAACAACGATGTGTCAGAAGGAAAAACCGAGCACAGTGGCCACGGCGGAGCCAAAAGCTCTGGTGGAGGGGGTGGAGGGGGCAGTGCCAGGGAGAAACGCAATGGCAAAGTCCACAAGCCTGTCCTACTGCACCAGAACAGCACAGAGGTGTCATCTACCAACCAGGTCGAGGTCCCTGACACAACGCAGAACTCCCCTGTCTCCATCAGCAGTGGCCTCAACAGCGATCCAGACATGGCTGACAGTCCTGTAGTAACAGGGATAAGCCATGTGGCCTCTGTCATGTCTGGCCTGTCCCAGAGTGTCTTTATGTCTGAGGTCACAGGAGACCCTGTTTACAGCATGTCTCCTACTGGGGGTCCCAACACTCACCTGATGGGTGCAGATGCCACCTCACAGGGCTTGGTGCTGTCTGTGGCCTCTGACCGTCATAAATTTGCTTTCCCCACTGGAGGAGTAGGGGAGTCTGGGAGTACTGCAGCAGGAAATGGTCTGTCCATGTTGTCAGCAGCTGGGGTGTCTGATGAGCTGGTGCTTTCCAGTAGCCTGGATGCTGGAACCATCAAGATCCCTGAGACCAATATGAACTTTGACCCCGACTGCTTCCTGAACAACCCCAAACAGGGCCAGACCTATGGAGGCAGTGCACTCAAGACAGAGGGCAACTCGTCTTCAACCTCATCTTCTTCTGGTGGCAGCAGCAGCACTAATGGCAGTCTGCAGCACTCCCCCACCATGTCAGACAATGGCTACACCTTCAGCTCAGCTTTGATAAAGAATATCAAGACTGAAGACACTTCCTTTGAGCAACAGCTGGCCAAAGAGAGTGGCTACCAAGTGGGGGCAGTAGTAAACTGTGGCAGTGGGGTGTCTGTGTCATCTGGTGCTGGTTCAAGCCAGGGCAACCTTACCCTGACACCAGCAGGTTCCCTGCTTCCTTCTGGTGGGGGTCTGAGTCCCAGTACCACCCTGGAGCAGATGGATTTCAGTGCAATTGATGCCAAGCAGGACTACACTTCCAGTGCTCCCACAGTGAGCTACGGTCAAGCCATGTCCAGTCCCCACATGCAACAGCAGAATCGGTCACCCAGCTTTTTTCTCCAGGATGCCTCTCAGACTGGCCCAGCTCAGCAGGGGAGGCCTGGCATGGGCCCGAAAACACATTTGATGGAGCACAATTCCCATGACTCTGGAGCTTATATGGGGCTGCAGGTGGTGAAGACAGACTCCCCAGGCAGCAATGGCCATCTCCACCATCACCATCAGGCCCACCAGGCCCAGCACAGGGCCAACTGTAATGGAGGCTCACCCACAGAGGGGCCTGGGCAGGCTGGCTCTCTCCAGCTGCTGCAGTACCAAGGGACCTTTCCTGGACTTGGCACTGAGCATGAGGAGGTGGTGGGTCTGGAACAACCAGGCAGTGTGAGTTCAGGTCAGAGTGGAGTTGCTGAGAATGGAGCTGAGAATCTTCTCAAGCCAGGAGACCATATTCAGGCCTGTGGGGCAGGAAACGGAGAGGGAGGGGGCGCAGAGCACTACCTGCAACAGGCCTCAGATGGTGGCGGAGGGGGGACTGGAGGTGCAGGAGAGGGTGTTGCAATGCATAATGGGAACAACAACAGTGATGGCAGCAGCCGCTCCCAGCAGCAACAGCATCTGCAGCCTCTTCTCCAAGGCACAGCCATGGTCCAGGGACTCTACAATGCTGTAGGAACCCACCAAGGTTTAGGTGGAGCAGCCAGCAATGGAGGAACAGGGGGGACAGGCATGGAGATCAGTTTGGATCATTTTGATATTTCTTTTGGAAACCAGTTCTCTGACCTCATTAATGACTTCATCTCAGTGGATGGCAGTGGCACCGCCATGTCAGCTGGAGGGGCCCTATATGCTCACCAGCTAGTATCCGCCCACAGCTCTGATAGTCAAAACACAGCAGGGGGAGGGGCCCAGCAAGGCCAAGAAGATGGAGGGGCCAGGGGATCTGGCTACAGCCCCTCAGAGCTCTGCCTTCAACCTTGCTGCAGCCCCCAGTCTCTGAGCGGAGGGGCTGGAGCAGGGGGAAACGCAGGAGAGGCAGGCTCACTGACCTACATGAATGTTGCGGAGGTGGTTTCTGCAGCTGTAGCCCAGGGGGCTCTGGGTATGCTTCATGCCACAGGCCGGCTCTTCATGGTCACTGACTACTCCCCTGAGTGGTCCTACCCTGAGGTGAGTGACTTTACCTCATCATTCCTTGTCAAACATTTTATGTACCACCCTAATTATTGAGATGTGGGTTACAAGGACTCCACTCAGCAGATTTCTTTAAGAGTTAGTTCTGCTTATTTGCACTAGAGCAGTCCAAAAGGTAATAAATAGATCAAGTCTACACCACCTACCTATAGCTTTTATTTTACAGATAAACAAAGGCTAAGGGTTAAATTAATAAACAGTAAATAGAAAAAAGGTGAATTAATAATTAAACTGTCCTTATAAATACAAATATTTATTAGATTCTTAAGATTTTTCAGTGATTTTAGTTTAGATAGGTGACAGCCAGACCTAAGGTTTTGTTATTTCCCTTATGTATGGCCAATTTGCTCCTAGAATAGGAAATATTGAACCAGTGGAAGTTATCTTAAATTGATCTGGTTGTTCAAGACATTTTTCAGCCAAAATCTGTATGGACTAAAAGCAGTGAGCCTTATGTTTGTTTGAGTTTCTTCAGTCAGGATGTTGACTGTCTAAGACAAAATGTTAATTAGTATATACATTTATCGAGCCAGAGAAAAGTGGCTGATCAGATGGCAAACTGTCGTTTTAGCTAAAATATGCACAGGCAAGTAAAACTTCCATTTCCATGCATCACTGGGACCTGAGAAAAACCTCTGCATTTAGGGGTAAAACAATCTTTGCACTATCCTGTGATTATCAAACACAGTTCTGTACTTATAAGGCTTATAAGTAGATAGTTCATAGTTTGCTTATGAACAGCTGCAGCTGTGATCAGCTTGAATCTACTGTATGTAATTTGTAGTAGGGCTTAATTTCCCCTGGGAATGTAAGGAACACCCCCCCCTTCTAAATATATATTTTTTGTCCCTTTCACATATACAACTTCAAGTTGACTTATTCAGTGAAATCTCTCTAAACAGTGTCCCCTTAATGTCCAGCTGCCATGATCACATCACTTCATTTCACTCCAGTAATCTTTACTGTCTCCAAAGCAGCAGCAAAGCAACATGAGAAACACCAACAAATCCAGACAAACATAATCCAGATGAGAGAAGTGTTGATAAATTCATCCTGATCACCCTCAGTTATTACTGTGTGCAATAAGCTGTACAAAGTACTGTATCTGCTAGCACTTTTCTGTCCTGTGTGTTTGCCCCTACCCTCCAACTGGTGGGGTTTGCTGTAAGTTGACCCCCCAAAAATCAGTTACTTATTAAATTTGTTTATGTAGGTTAATAATTTAATTAGGGCATAGAGGAGGTCAACCCCTGATCACAGGGTTGGCAGCTTGATTCTCGTTCTCCCCAATCCAATTGTCCCAGGGCAAAACACTGAACCCCAAGTTGCTCCCGGTGGCCAGGCCAGTGCCCTGCATGGCAGCTCCATTGGTGTGTGTGTGTGTGTGTGAATGGGTGCATGGGTGAATCTGTAAAGCGCTTTGTCCAGGTATGATAGGAAAGTCCAGTCCATTTACCATTTAATATTTAATATTCCCTTTAAACAAACTGAATGTTAACCAGGTAAGGCAGTATAATAAACATGCATATTTTAGTAAACATGCAAATAGAACATTATCTTATCAATGAATGATTTAGTATTAACGAATTATTAATTCATCAACCTACTCCCATTATTATGGAAAACAATAATCAGACTCATTAAAATATTTAATTCACTATTGCACTATAGAAATAAACACAAAGTTCAGGCAAGAGCTTTCACATAGTGCTTCTGACTTGTGCCCACTCACTTCTGAAACTCTTTTGCAATTTGACAGGGAATGATAGATACTGTAGCTTTTGAAAATATTTTTCAAAAGGAGGGAGACTGCTCAGAAGGGAAGGATGAATAGTCCTTGAAGGAAACCTGCTCCCGACTGAACGTAACCTGAGACTGGGGTGAAGGTTCACATTTCAGCATGACAATGACCTAAGCTTCAGGAGTGGCTTCAGGACAAGTCTCTGGCTGTCCTTGTCTTAGACTTAAACCCCATAATTATTTACTGTAGATTGATAGGCAAAAGGGCAGCACGGTGGCACGGCAGTTTGCATGTTGGCCCCGTGCTTGTGTGGGTTCTCTCCAAGTGCTTCGGCTTCCTGGCACAGTCCAAAGACATGCCGCTTAGATTGAGTCGGGGCTCTAAATTGCCCGTAAGAGTGGCTGTGAGTGTGAGTGGTTGTTTGTCTGTATGTCGACCCTGTGATAGACGGATGGATGATAGGTAAAAAATGCCCATTAAATTTTTATTTAAAATTAAATTTACAACACAATAAAGGAAGCAAAAAGTAAAGGCATGTGAATATATAAATATACTTAGCTAGATGTTTGAAATATAAATATAACATAAAACAAATGAGAGAAGTTACACTAGCAAGCAAGAAAAGCTGCAGCATTCTCTATGAAGTTCTTAAACAATTTGTCTGTCAGTCATAAACAATTTAGCCGTCATAATACTCTTTACTGTGCACCAAATTCCTCTTTTTAATTCCCCCTTTTCATCATTCTCTGATTATGTAATACACGGGCTTGTCAGTGTTAGTTATGTTGTCAGTAGTAATACCCTCCTCCAGCCACTGGAGGGCAGCACAATATTTTTGTGCCACTATTGTTTGGCTGTTAATGTGAGATTTAGAAAAATTGGTGGAACGAAATAATGCGGGTTGTCCACATGAAGGCAGCAGAGATCAGAACAGAGGAAATGTTTTCTGTTCCTTGGTGCCATTCTTATGTTTGCACACTAGATGGCAGAGTAACAACAAATACAGTAGTCTGGTTTGGCATATGTCAGGATCTGGTTTAGTCCATTTGTCCTGTTTTGCAGGGTGGAGTTAAGGTGCTGATCACTGGGCCCTGGCAGGAGGCCAGCTCGAACTACAGCTGCTTGTTTGATCAAATCTCGGTCCCAGCCTCTCTCATCCAACCTGGGGTGCTGCGCTCCTACTGCCCAGGTAAAACAGGAGAAAGCCCACACACACATCAAAGAGGAGATAGCTTGTGCTGAGTTGGGGGTTATTATATTTATCATACTGCATATAGCAGCTTTAGTTTTATTTATTTAGGCTGATAATATGAGACTGACCTGATTTTTGCATTGATTAATGGTGGATTTATCTACACACATAACAAGAAAATATTTTATTATATAAAATGATATC